AATTTAGGTGTTTTTTGCATTTTAATTCTGTGTGCAGCAACATAAGTACTGCCTCAATGTTTGTTTGTTTGTTACTAGACAGGAGAAAGGGTATTTTATCAATAAACACAGGCAATAGCTTTACTACAGCAGTTTGTAGTATTCTAAATCTATATGCATACACATATTATATTAAATATTAGATAGAAAAATTGCATTAAAAGAGTGTTACAATTGCACAGAAATGCACTAAAAACTGGGAAATGCCAGAATTAAGGCTGGCTGTGTAACCTTAATTCAGTCCCTTTACAGTCTTTAAGATACGATCAAACACTATTGCTTAAACACAGGTCACCCCCATTTCATTCAGTGGACAGGATGGAACTGCTTGGGGATGAATCAGAGTCATGTAGTCAAAGAGGCTGTTGTCAACAGGACCCCTACATCATTTGTGTCAGAAGCTGGATGATGTGTAGTGAATGAGGCAGGGGACTGCATCAAAAAACAGGACAGTCTCCTGATTAAGAAAGTTGAATGCCACCTGTAAAACTGGAGCTCCTGTGTGATGCTGGGCAACTCATTTAAACCACAATGTTCACAGCTGGCCACTAACTATGTAGTCCTAGTTTTCTAGGTGTCCAGTGCGAGACACCTGGGGCCAGATTTGCAGGAGTGCTGAACACTCAGCAAGTTCCACTCAAGTGAATTGGAACTGCGCTCTGAACACAAATAACTACTCGCTCAGAGAATGAGGCTGGGGTCACGTGGGGGGAAAAACGGCATGTGATTATGTAATGAAGATTGTATCATAATGTATGTGCACAAGCAAGCTGAATTAAGGTTGCACAGGCAACCTTAACTCTCAGATTTCCTAACTTCTGAGTAGCTGACTTTGCAACCGTAAAATTCTTTCAGCATAGTTTTTTGGATGTAATATACACTTGAATGACTTCAGCCTCGGGAATAAATCCCTATCTTAAGGGATTTCTGACATGATAAACTAACGATGGAGTTGTCTAGGCTACTGAGAAGGTTTCTACTTTGAAGTTCATTGACCATAATTGCTCCCATCAGCCTGCAAGGGGAAAATCTGGGCACTAAAGGGACTGTATTCAGTACTTGCAAGATAGTGCCTGACTAGAACCTACATATTAACACTGATGGAATTTTTATTGAAAAAAACAAGGGGGGGGGGGAACCTTTTGAACAATGCCTCATTTTCTAAAATGAAAATAACTAGAATTTCCCCTCAAATTTATTTCCACATCAGACTGAATATTACATGTTTGTACATAAAGTACCTGCCAAAAAATTAGTCAGAAAAACTCTAAAGTGTGCAGAAAAATAACCTTATTTGATCTATATCTGAAAGGTACAAATGCTCACATTAGGCCTAATGTTGCATTCCCTGCATATTTAGCATTTCCATAGGTTTTAGTGGGAGATTTACGTGCACAATACAGAACCAGGAAAACAAAGGGTACTGTAATGTCCAATCTGAAACAAAATTAATTGCATCCATAGCAAAAAACACTAAACAAACCAAGGGAAAACAAAACTTGGCTAGCATGGATCACAGCAGTTTGAATGAACCTTTTAACAGTTTTCAGAGTAACAGCGTGTTAGTCTGTATTCGCAAAAAGAAAAGGAGTACTTGTGGCACCTTAGAGACTAACCAATTTATTTGAGCATGAGCTTTCGTGAGCTACAGCTCACTTCATCGGATGCATACTGTGGAAACTGCAGAATCCACAGTATGCATCTGATGAAGTGAGCTGTAGCTCAGGAAAGCTCATGCTCAAATAAATTGGTTAGTTTCTAAGGTGCCACAAGTACTCCTTTGCTTTTAACAGTTTCACATCCTGAAATTTACATACTCCTCCAGTTTGGAGGAAAATGAAAGAAGTGCAAGACATAAACCAAAACTCACCCCAAACCACAGCTGACCTGCCAGTTAATCTAAAAGACTTACACAGCACAGTAAATCTCGTATCAAACCTGGTCTCTGTAACATAAGCATATCTCATCTTTTGCTATTGAAACATTTGTCCTCCCCATACTGTTTATTTGTCATCCTTGACTGCCTTAAGTCTGAATTACTGTTAAGCTCCTTGTGGAAAGGACCTGTCTTTTCACATTTTTCTTAAAGCACCATCCATGCATATGACTGTTCAAAATGATTCTTTAGGTTTGTAACAAAACCCCAGTGAACTCTACCAGATTTGGGGTGTTTATTCCAAGATTTTCACACAGCTCTATTAAACACTCTGTCCCCAACAGACTTGGCATGAACAATACTTTGCTCAACTCTACACCTGCCCTCAATAACACACTGCAGTTAGGTCACTGGTCACCCAGGGGGGCTGGAGAATTACAGGGTGTTATATATGGTTAGTGTGATGAAGATAGCCTGCACAAGAAAGACTTTACAGCATTTACAGCCACAGAAACACCTTAAAAATACTGCTTAGAAAGGCAAGAAGACCACAGCTTAGTAGCCAGCTGGTATAGATCTTCAGGAGCAGAGGGCATGGTTAGAAGCAACTCTGAAGAGTCCCCTGGATAACTGGGATGGCAGCATGTGGCCACTAGCTCAAAGAGGTACGCTGTTCCTGGCAGAGAAAGGGGCTGGAACAGCTGTATGTTCCCAGTACAGACACAGTGGTTAGAAAAGACAGCAGCTGTCCCGCCGCACAAAGGCAAGGGTAGAGGAGAGAGGCTGGGGCTCCACCCCACCCACAAAGAGGCAAGGGGTGTATGCCCCTCCATGCAGAGAGGCAGGAGCTGAGAGTGAGCGAGCAAGCGAGGCACACGGGGACAGGAGGCTGTGCACCAGCTGTGCCGCCCACACCCGCCACTTGGGGTAGTGCGCACATTCACACCACCGGTGCAGAACTGTGTGTGTATGTGTGCCCCAGCACAGGCGCAGTGGCTGTGTGTGTCCCCGACTCCGCCTAAGCACAGGAGATGTGTGCATCATCCACCCCCGCTCCAGGCAAAGGGGCTTGTGTGTCTCCCTATCCCACGCAGGGGCTATGCATGTATCCTGAACCCCCCTGCCCTCCCCCTGCTGGGCGCATGGGTGGTGTGAGTCTGCCCACTGCCACCCCATCCCCCTGGTACAGGGGCACCCTGTGCGCATGTCCTTCCCCCAGACACAGGGGCTCCGTGTGTCCGTGCCCATTTCCCCACTCCCCAGCAAAGGGGCTCCATGTGCGCATATGTCCGTGTTCTCCTACCCCCACCACGGACGACACAGGGGCTCTGCGTGCACGTGTGTCCGGTCCGTCCCCACCACCGACACGGGCTCCATGTGCGCATGTGTCCGCCTCCCACTCAGACGACACAGGGGCTCCGTGTGTGCATGTGTCCGCCTCCCACTCAGACGACACAGGGGCTCCGTGTGTGCATGTGTCCGCCTCCCACTCAGACGACACAGGGGCTCCGTGTGTGCCCGTGTCCGTCCCCCCAGGGCACGGGGGCTCCGTGCGTGCCCGTGTCCGTCCCGCCAGGGCACGGGGGCTCCGTGCGTGCCCGTGTCCGCCCCGCCAGGGCACGGGGGCTCCGTGCGTGCCCGTTTCCGCCCCGCCAGGGCACGGGGGCTCCGTGCGTGCCCGTGTCCGCCTCCCACTCAGACGACACAGGGGCTCCGTGTGTGCCCGTGTCCATTCCCCCAGGGCACGGGGGCTCCGTGTGTGCCCGAGTCCCAGTGTTCATCCGTCCCCCCAGGGCACAGGGGCTCTGTGTGTGCCATCCCTCTGGCGCAGGGGCTCTGTATGCGCCCCTGTCCATCCCCCCCAGGGCACAGGGGCTCCGTGTGTGCCCCTGTCCGTCCCCCTCAGGGCACAGGGGCTCCGTGTGTGCCCCTGTCCGTCCCCCCCAGGGCACAGGGGCTCCGTGCGTGTGTCTGTGTGGTCCTGCCCCCTCCCAGGCGCTGTGTCCCATATCCCCCCCCAGGTGCTCTGTTTCTGTGCCCATCCCCAACAGGCGCTCTGTGCCCGCCCCGGGGGCTCTGTGCCTGTGTCCCGTCCGTCCCCCCCACCTCCGGACACAGGGTGTGTGTGTGTGTGTATGTGCTTGTGTAGCCCACCCCCGTCACAGAAGCTGTGTGTGTGTCCGCATAGGCGCTGTGTGTGCGTGTGGTGTACTTTCACCACCACCACCACCCCCTCGCCCCCCGGGACAAGGGCACTCTGTGTGTGTCCCCGAGTCCCTCCCTCCCCCCCCCGGCACAGGGGCGCTGTGTGTGTATGTGTGTCTGAGTCCCATTCCTCCCCACACAGGGGCGCTGTGTGTGTCTGTCCGAGTCCCCCGCCGCCCGGCACAGGGTGCGTGTGTGTCCGAGTCCCCCGCCGCCCGGCACAGGGGCGCTCTGTGTGTGTGTGTGTCCCCGAGTCCCACCCCGCCCGGCACAGGGTGTGTGTGTGTGTTCCCCGCCGCCCGGCACAGGGGCGCTCTGTGTGTGTCCGTCCGAGTCCCACCCCGCCCGGCACAGGGTGTGTGTGTGTGTGTGTGTCCCCGAGTCCCATCCCGCCCGGCACAGGGTGTGTGTGTGTGTGTCCGTCCTAGTCCCACCCCGCCCGGCACAGGGTGTGTGTGTGTGTGTCCCCGAGTCCCACCCCGCCCGGCACAGGGTGTGTGTGTGTGTGTCCGAGTCCCCCGCCGCCCGGCACAAGGGCGCTCTGTGTATGTGTGTGTGTCCCCGAGTCCCACCCCGCCCGGCACAGGGTGTGTGTGTGTGTGTCCCCGAGTCCCACCCCGCCCGGCACAGGGTGTGTGTGTGTGTGTGTGTCCGAGTCCCCCGCCGCCCGGCACAGGGGCGCTGTGTGTGTGTGTGTGTGTGTGTCCGTCCCCGGCACAGGGATGCTGTGTGTGTGAGGGGCTGTGTCAGTGCCGTGTGTCCCCCCGGCACAGGGGCGCTGTGTGTCGTGCCGCTCCCCCTCCCCCGCTGTCCGCAGGGAGCCCGAGCTCGCCGCTCCCGCCCGGCCGGGGATGGGCAGGGACCCCCGCGCGCCGCTCACCTCCTTCCGCGCCGGGCCGAGCCCATCGCCCATCGTCCGCCGGGGCCACCAGTGCGCTGCGGCGGGGAGCAGCTGCGGCGCCACAGCTGGGGCCGGCACCTGGGAGCGGCGAGCGAGGCGGCGGGGTCAGGGAGGCTGGCGAGCAGGGAGCGTCTGCAAAGTGCACGCCCCCGGCCGGGAGCGTGCACCGCAAGGGAGTATCTGCAAAGTGCACGTCCGGCCGGGAGCGCGCACAGCAAAAGGAGCGTCTTCAAAGTGCACGTCCGCCAGGGAGCGTGCACCGCAAGGGAGTGTCTGCAAAGTGCACGTCCGGCCGGGAGCGCGCACAGCAAGGGAGCGTCTGCAAGCTGCTTGCTGCCCGTGCGGGAGCACAGACGACAAGGGAGCATCTGCAAACCACACACCCCGCGCGCCGGGACCGTGCACAGGCAGACCGCAGGAGCAAGGGAGCTAGTTTTCATGCGAGCCCCTCAGATTTTATCAGATCTCGAGAGACAAGGTGAGTGAGGAGGGATAGCTCACTGGTTTGAGCATTGGCCTGCTAAACCCAGGGTTGTGAGTTCAATCCTTGAGGGGGCCATTTAGGGATTTGGGGGGAAAATTGGGGATTGGTCCTGCTTTGGGCAGGGGGTTGGACTAGATGATCTCCTGAGATTCTATGATCGTTTATGGGACCAACAGAGAACATCAAGTTACCAAAGATTGCTCGCAAACTGCGAGTGTAAGTACTGTCGGGGAGAGTGCACAGCCATCAAGCCTAAGAAACAAACATCTGCAAAGTATCAGGCTGCCTGATTGTATCATGTACAATAATCTAGTCCAACTAGACATGGTCCACCAATTGCCAGATCAATAAAGGACTGTGTCCAATAAGGGTGCAACTAGAAGCCATCTGCAAATTCACATCTCCACCACAGACTGCACAAAAGCAGGGACTGTCTGCAAGCTTCTCACCTTACCTTATCTCAAATGCTCCCCTTAACACATGCTGGCTCTGGGGATGCATACATGAATAGGTTTGGCCCACTGGGATACTAGGAGGCCAAATCCTCAACTGGTGTAATCCACTGAAGCTGGGGGGAGAGTTGGCTCAGGGCACTCTGCTGCTACCATGTTTCCCATCCTTCGGAGGCTCCCCAGCCTTTCATTAGCTGAAGCATCTCTTGCAATGGATTTGTGTATTGGCAACTCCCAAATTCACTCAAGCCACCTTCCATCTTAGAATTTTAAGGCACTTTCACTTTCCTGAGATGTAAAGATTACACTCTCCCTTTTACAGATGAGGTGCAGAGATGTGACATGACTTGCTCAAGTTCATACGCTGAGTTGGTGTTAGCTCTCCCAATATCTTGGAATAGCCACAAGCCCCTTCTTGCCCTCTTTTTCTGTCTTCCTTTTCTCCTCTCGTTGCCAGTCTCTCCCCTCTTCTTTATTTTCTCCACCATTTTCTTCCTTTTTGGTCAGCCCTTGATCCTTTCTGCCTGCACTTTCCAGTGGTCCTCTACTCTTCTTATGTTCCAGTCTCCTCTCTCAATCCTTTTCCTCCTCTGCATTCCTTTCTCACCCATCTGGTCTTTCACCATCATCCTGTTCTCACACCCAATATTCTACACCCGCGTCATGTCTTATCTTCCCTATTCACATATGCACATGACCCCTTCCAGGGATGACAAGGGCCACTGCAGCTGCTGCTCAGAGCCTGGTAGTATGAGCATGAGGCTGCAAGTTCTGGCCTCTTCTGCTTCCCCATTCTCTGTCTCTCTTCTTTGATGCATGAGCCACTTTCCATGCTGCATGAGAGCTACCAAGAGATTAAGGAAACCAGAAAGAAGAACAGTGACAAAGACAGGATGGAAGCAGTTTCCCCTCGTGTTTGTTAGAAGGACCTACATGAGAACCTTGTTCCCTTGCTACAGCCATGAGTTATGAGTTATATTTCAGCTAGGATGCATGATAGCGGGGCAAATTTTTGACTGTCACACTGGGGGAGTGATAGTTGGCAGATATAGACTTACTACCACTATCTGCTAAAGGTATCACTTTAAATTCATTTGTGTTTGGAGATGGAGATGTCTCCCAAAATGTGTGTGATAGTGGTTGGGACAAGATTTTGCCTGTGATAGTAATCGTGTCTTTTGTTTGCAGGATGTGGATTAATTACATCAGCTAACTTTTTCTAAACATTACATAATGAAGAAATATTTACAGCACAGTATATTTGTCTGATTTTTCATTTATTAAGTCGTTTATAAAATACTGTTTTAAAATTACTAAAGTGCCTAGTCTAAGCTGCAGTGTTTGGGTCCATTAGTGCAAAATGCTGTAGTATATTTTTATAAGGGAGGAAATGAATAAATTGTGAGTGGCTTGACAGACTCTATTTAATGCAGCCATTAGAGGAGTGTATCTGCATGCACATATCTTAAGGGAAAGCAAATAGAAAATGAGTGACATCTGGTGGCCAATATCACTCAAATGTTTCATAGGAATCATATGCCCTTTAATAAGGAGTCTAATGTAAAGTTTCTAATTCTGGTTAATAACTGTACAAGCTAACATAAGACTACAAGAAGAATTCGTACAGTTTATACGTTCTGCACACTAAAATTCATACTCTTGTGTAGAGGTCTTCATGTACTGTGAACTATCAGAGACTAACCACAGAAATTAAACAAAATTAAATCACATGCAAATGGGTGTCTTTTTGATTACAATACAAAAAGTCTTTGCTAGTATTTAATACTATCCAATATTTTTTCCAAGAGATAGAAAATTGTTGTTCACACAATGCATGCTGAAGGGCACTTGTTTATAACCACAAGCATCAGAGCCATCATCAACAATGATGCTGTCCGACATGGAGTTTTACATTTTATTGAGTATTATTCTGCGATCATGTGCTGCCAGTTGGAAAATCTCACTGAGATTTAATGAGAGGTTTGGGATTTGAAATTTTCCTAGGCATCCAGTGATCAAAGCCCTGGACTTCTTCCTGTGCAAAAGATGAGTAGGCTTCTGAAAAGTTCCACGATGATTTGCACTGAGGCTCTCATGACAAAGAAACAAAATAGGTAAAATAATGATGTCTGAAACTCTTTGATTTTCTTCTGTTTGTTATGCTTGTAAATTAGGAAACTCACATCAACTGGCTGACCCCAGATTAGTCACTTTCATGGCAGAGATGAATCCGATAAAGTGAGCTGTAGCTCACGAAAGCTTACGCTCAAATATATTTGTTAGTCTCTAAGGTGCCACAAGTACTCCTTTTCTTTTTGCGAATACAGACTAACACGGCTGCCACTCTGAAACCTGTCAGATATTAAAATACCATTTCATCAAACTGCCCATAGCTGCTTAAAACAAAACTCCCAGTAAACCTGTTACAGAGGGCAAGGGAAGATCCAGTGGCCCCTTGTTTATACAATACTATTTATGAACCAGCTTTATCATCCAGCTGTAGAAAATACATTACAATACAACTTCATACTGTAGAGTGTGTATATCTCAAAATGTTTTACAAAGCTAAATAAAAGAATAAAGTAATAACAGAGAATTAACTAGGTAGATGAGAGTTGGGTGGGTTGCTCAGCCATTACCAAAATAGGGGAAAACTGGAGAGAGTGAGAAGAGAAGAGAGAAGATGAAGGTAGAAAGTTAGAGTCAAAGGGAGAGTTAAAGGATGGGGAGGGTTAAGGATGGGGAATGTTGCAGGGCAAGCTTCCCCTTTTATTTGTTTATTTTTTATTTGCATGTATAATAAACATTCAAATATAGATTTTTCATGGTGCTACATGCAGTAATTTCCAAGCATTTTTTAACCTTTGTTCTCTTGTTCCCTTGAGTTTCTTTGGCACATTCTTTCCTGTTCTATTGCTGGGAAATTTCTGAAACTTAAATAAATTTCTGAATCAAATAATTTCAGATACAATTGTCATTTCTTTACATTGTAATAATTTAAAAACAATGTAAAAACCTACATGTAAATCTAAGACTGAGGGAATGGAAACATATGACTTCAATGGAATTACCTCAATTTACACCAGCTGAGGATCTGGCCCAGTAAATGCAAGCAACAAGAATCTTATGTAGTGGCATAGTCACACATTAAAAGTTTCCATAAACTGGTGCTGTTTTTCTGTTTAATTATTTTTCTGCTCCCCTGAAGTTGCTGATACAGTCTTGTCATTGATGGATCATAAAAAGTCCTGTGTGTCAAATCATCAAGGGATGGCATTTCCTTGCCAAGGTCAGCCTCAGGTTCATGGTGGAGACAAGCAGCCAGGATAACAGTGTCACATCCTCATTAACCTGCATGGGCTTATGATGATGAAGTTCTGGCTCATTTAGCATAAAGGACAGAAGTACTTACACATCTGTGGGCTAAGAGTAGATGCTGGAGCAGATATGGACTCTCTATGGTGTTGTTAAATAGAATGGGCCTTCATCAGCTTTTCAGATCTAAGTGGCTTGATTCTCCATTTCATCTTTTGTAATCATTAACTAATCAGAATGGTAATGTTTTACACCCACTTTACACAGGTGTGCACAAGGCACACTGTATTTTTAAATTTGAGTACAAACTAAAATTGCATTTTTATCATGAAACAAGATAACATTCACAACAGATTCAGGTTCAGCTGAAGCAACGGCAGGTTTTAGTCCAGGATCACAACACAGAACCTAGCAGATAAGGAGTCAGGCACCCATAGCAATGAGCAGACAATGACCATTACTTGCTGGGTTCATATATAGCTGGCATGGGCAGTCTCTGGTGAGCAGTGACAAATAGGGAGTAAGCTATATTCATTTAATCACATGACCTACACAGGCTGCATGAGTTCTTTACAGCTTGTGTTGTTTTATTTGGGTTTCTTTTTTAAAAAAATCTCTTTGGCCCAAGAGGAATTAGGCCTCACTTGAAGTCATGACTCAGCTTGCATTGAAGACAATGGAAAGACTCCCATTTATTACTGTGAGAGTTGGAGATGAGGCCCTGTGAATGTGCAAGTCTGAGTTTAGGAGCGGGTATACATTTTCCACCCTGGTTGGCAAAATGGTGAAGGTTGCTCCTGGGTCCTATCCTTTCCGTTCTTTCACGGCCTCCCATGCAGCTCAGGGTTTAACTCCACAGCTCTTAATGTTCTCATTGGTTCAACCATTCTGGAACTTATCATCTGCTTATTTAAAAACAAAGAGT